TGTTTTCGTGATGCACATTTTCTTTGCATAAAACTCTCTCTTATACATGAGTTGCTGTGGATTTGTTTCTCCAAAGTACCCAGACTAATACACAAATTAAGAATCATGTTTCTCCCTAAAGAAAGAGAAGCCTATCCTTACAAAGTCAGCACATTGCATATTTGCATGCCGACTTTCTGAGATAATCGCCATATGTCCTAAAGCCAACCCAACAGGAACCCCAGGGTGTCCACTGGAACTACAGTTCTGTGACACGCAAAGTCAGGGAATAAGCCCAAGCAAAGGCATGAGCCACGGTGGATTGAAACCGTCAACTCTGGCTTTATGGGACAGGTCAGCAAAATGGCATTTGTAATTCTAGATTGCCTAAATTCTTTGGCAAAGAGTAATTTCTTCCAAGCCTGTCTCTCAAAGGGAGGTTTCCATTAGGTCATTTATAGAAAACACGTAAGAATCCTATTGTTTAAATCCACTAAAGACAATCTTCAAAAAACTTCCTTTTAGTCTTTACCAGTGTTGTTCTGATAGCTCTCTTGCTCTCATCGTGTGTGTGTGTGTGTGTGTGTGTGTGTGTGTGTGTGTGTGTGTGTAAGAACTTGCTTGGCTCTGCGAAGAAAGGTAAACAACTGAGCCTATATGTAGATAGCCTGACTCATTTGTGAAGCAGGGATGAATAAATGGTTTCACTGCATCATCACAACGAAAAGTCCTGAGTAACCCTGAACCCACTGTACGAAGCTCCAAAGAAAGAGGATGTGGTTTCGGAATTGGGGCTTTATTGTGCACACAGCTCCTACAGAAGCTGGAAGGTGTGGACCCCTTCCCAGGGTACAATTTGCCTTTGGGCCAGTTTCCTGAGGCCAATGGGTGGTGGGTGACCAGTCCAAGAGGACAGGGAAGTAATCTACCCTGGCCAAGCGGTAAAATGAAAAGGGTCTTGGGAGATGGAGGCTCAGTAGCGCTTTCTGCGTAGTGAGAGAGCACCTCCTCTCTGGAGTCTAAGCATGTCCCCTGAAGACATGAAAATTCTGAGCCTAGATCCCTCCCAGACTTAAACCTTGGGTGTATGTATCCCCTTCCTGTTAGTGTAGAGACAGCCCTTTCCCTGGAGTTTGAATTATTCCAGCAGACGTGAATGGTGACGAGAGAGGAAGGCCTGGACTAGCCCCCAAGTTCCTGTGAATGGAGGTAATAGAGAAAGAGTTGAGCTGGCAGGTGGGGTTCCAAGTGAGCAGGCCAGAGAAGCTGAGGCTTCTCTAGGAGACAGCTGATGTGTGGAGTGGGACCACCCAGATGGTTGGTCTCCGCCTCCCAGAACTGGTTTGATTCCATTGGAGATTCTGATGAGATTTCCTTGAGTGGTCTCCACTTGTCCTAAGGTATGCACAGAATGTGGTATGTTGACTATGTTGAATAATGTAAGTTGATTTACTATAAACTCTTGAACAAGATAGGTCTGAGTCTCCCCCTTGCCAACTTCAGGATAACAGGCTTAAGACAATAGGCCTGCTGTCTCGAGTGACTACAAGGGGTGCCCTTTTAAGTCTCTGATGCAACAGTCTGGCGTTGAAACTGTTGTGAGGACAAAACAGACCATAAGTCATAGTTTCCTGGGGCTTGCAGTCTGAAATTTGGGTAGCCAACTGGAACACTGATTTATTAAATGGTACCAAAATGACCTTAAGAAATTCCTGAGTGGCGCAGCTAACATACTCAACTACTCCATCCAGAGTCACCTGGGAAGAAAGGCCTAATGATCTACTTCTGAAAAACTCAGCCACTGAAAACCACAAGCTCTGGCACTGCTGTGGGTTGAGCATTGGACTGCTCACTGTAAAACCAGCAGTTCAAATCCAACAGTTGTGCCTTGGAAGAAATATGAGGCTGTCTGTGCCCATAAAGATTGACAGCCTTGGAAACATTTTTTTTAAAAGGGTCCTTAAAGGGGTTTCCTGAAATGGTTCACGCAACTTCCCAAAAGGTTTTCACTTAGTTCTAGGAAGTAGCTGAAGCACAGTGAGACTCGGACTCAATGTGAATGAAAGTCTTTTGAGCTACCTGGGAGAAAGCTGCTATGCATATTCAAGAGCGCAACTCACTCACCATTTGGTTTACGTGACCCGTCTAGCTGTAGCACTTCTCTGTTACTGAGACATGACTCAAGTTGGTGCTGAATAGAGGGTTTTCTAGTTGACAGATGAGAAGAATGACCACAGCCTGACTATAGACATGTGTGCCAAGAGCACATGGCAGTTTTAGGGCAAGGTCACCTTCGTGTTGTTCCATCTTCTCATTTGGACTTCTGGAAAATGATTAGTGCTTTCTCTCTCTAAGATATTTTCTTATCTGATATTTCAAGATCTGAAAGTAAGTGGCTGTAATCCACAGCTCAATACCATATATCAAACTCACAGTCTAAAGAGAAAGTCACTGATTAATAAGCACACAGGTCAAAAAGCAACCAAAGGGACACTTAGCATTAGAAGGGAGGAAAGCAATAAAGTACCAGGTTGTCATGCTCATGTGAGTATGAATGTACTCTGTTAAGATCATTTCTTAAATGCTGCATCTACTTGGAAATTGTGGGGGGTTGCAAAGTAGTGCATATGGTTTGATCATTTTTTATGGGGCTCATGAATCAACATAAGCACGCAGATGCCAGAGCACAAGTGTCAGGCCAAGGGTCCTAGACTTCTAGGCAAATCTGGCTCTTGGACACTATATACAGCTTCTTTGTAGGAAAGAAGAGTCTAGCATTATGGAGTACTAGACTAGATAAAGCCTTTTAGCTCTATTAAGGAACAAGTTCTAAATGAGGAGGAATTATCAATAGATTAGTTGTAAAGAAAGATCATGCACCAATCTATTCAAGAAGGTAGACTCATATAAAGCACTTATGGAAGAAAGGGAAAGTGTCAGGAGAGAGTGTGTTTTAAATAGACATTAAAAAATATTAGCAGTTAAAATGAAGACCTGATATCAAGGGCTCAAGTAGAAAGAAAATGCTTTGATAATGATGATGGCAACATATGTACAAATATGCTTGACACAATGGATGGATGGATGGATTGTGATAAGAGCTCTAAGAGCCCCCAATAAAATGATTTTTTTAAAATGTTAATTCTTTCAAGTACAGAATCATATAGACTATAACACTAAAACTAGAGAATTGGCATAACCTGTATTTTGTAGATAAGGTTAAAGTATTGGATATAACTGTCTTACCTTCTAAGAACCAGGAACTAAAGTCTTCATATGCTCAATCCCTTGATCCTTCTGTTTCACAAAGTCCTTTGCCCTCTCCTCAGTTTTAACACATTCCTTTAGTTATTATACCCTCTAGTGTTGGCTTCAATGCCAAGCTTCACTGTAGTTCAGATTGCGACGTTACAGACAAACTGTGGTATTTTGGGGGCCTGCTCTATATTATAGAGTTTAAAAGCCACATATACAATACATATACATATATGCTGTAGCTGAAAAGAGTTGTATAAGCATAACCTCTTTTCAGTGTTTGAATTATTTTTGCTTATGAATTTCTCTCCTTGTCACCTTTTATTTCCTCCAATGCCTATTTACCTGTTTTTGCCAAAAGAAAACTCAAAAATATGAATAATTAATCTGCAGGGGGTAGGGTACGAGTGACTGTTAATTCTACTCTAGTATCTTCTCAAACCTCAGATAATTTGAAATAATAACATCACTAACATCTTATAAAATGGCCTACAGGTTTTTTAAGTTTTAAGGAGTTGGTGTGATTGTGCTAGGATCACATTTGTGAACTGATGCACCAGCCTTGAAATCAGCATGGTTCTGATGGCTAAGGCAATGCTACTGGCCGACCAAAAAAATAACATAAAACGGTAGAGCACAGAAATGTCTGGTTCTCAAATACCATTCACCCACAGATCTTTTAAATATTTATGGTAATAACAATTAATGTGATTCAATAATTATTAATCAAAGAGAAGCATCTCGCCCACAATCTGGTGATATCCCCCAGAATTTTTTCCCCCTGTGCATCCCTTTCAAATAAGCACTGCAGTCCAGAAAAAAAATTGCCTAAATGGACAGGTGGAAGTAAGCTAGTTCTTCAACTCTCTCTAAAAGCGATTTCACACACGCTTACTGTTCTTTTAAACTGTCCCGCCTTAAATCCATTGACTCAGTAGAGAACGTAGAAGCTCCTTAGCTTCCCATTACCAGTGTTCCCAGTTATCTGTGCCTGCATTCATCTATTTCCTCCACAGTACAATGGAGATAGGACTTTCTACCCATAGAAGGTGTGCTTAGGTCTCTTTCCCTGCAGCCATTCTTCACACTGAACTCCTCAGGCCTCACAACTTTGGACAGTTTCTCCCACACCCTGGTCTGGTCGTCTTTCTCCCCAGCAAGGTGGTCTTTTACTTCTTTGTTTGCATTCCCAAAACACCCCTTCACTTTTTCTGTATTAGAGTTTGTTGTTCTAGGTTGAAACTGTTTTTTAGTCTATGTCTCCTACCAAATTCCAAATTCCAGTCTATAGTGATAATTGTTTCCCTCTCATCCCCTAGTATTAATAAGCAGGAGCCCTGCTGGCATTGTGGACTACAAACTGAGCTGCTAACCACAATGTAAGCACTTTGAACCCACCAGTCGCCCTGCGGGAGAAAGGTGAGACTGTCTGTTCCCGTAAAGATCTGAAATCTCAGAAACCCAAAGGGGCAGCTCTACCCTGTCCTATAAAGCCACTATGAATCAGAATTGACTGGATGGCGGTAAGAATGCCAAGCACTCTGTCTGATATATGTAGGATTTCTATATGCCTAAGTCAAATAAAGGGACAGATGTTACAATTCTACCTTATAAGCGCTGGAAGCTCAAGTCCTTATAATGCTCAATCTCTTAAAACTTCTGTTTCCCATAACTCTTTGCCCTTTCCCCAGTTTAAACACTTTAATTAGTACACTCCCTTGTGTTGGCTCCAATGCCAAGGTTCAAAGGGCGGTAGCTCTGATTTTTTAAAATTTTAAAATCCTTACCCTTCTGGGTGTGTGACATGCTATCAAGCTTACATTTCCTTAAGTTGAGTCCATATAGATCGATAGCTCTGCGGTCATCCAAGGTGATCAAACGATGAGCAAGGAACCACACGCCTCTATCCTAAATCTTTCCACCCTCTGATGTCAATGGTTAGGCCTGATTCGGTGCTTCAAATCTGTGATTTTGAGAACAATGATCTCAAGCTTCTAAATCTCAGTGAGAGTGAATAGATTTGGAAGGCACAGCAAATTCAGTGAGGTACAACATTGGCAGCTCCCCGGATCTTTTTCCTGTTTAGTTTGGCTCAGTGCTGATTCCAGCATCAGCTTTTTGGCAGGTTAGGAGATGCAGCGTGTCCTACATTTACCTCTTTAATGTGTAGAAAGTCCTTGGCATCAAAGGAGATGGCCGTGCTCGGAACAGGCACATCCTCGTCCAGGGCACCACAGTAGCTCACGTTCGTTTTCACAGCAAATGCTACAGGTTTGGACTGGGGAAAAAACCATGGAAAATAAGGAGTGTTGGGAGGAGAGAGGAGACAATTTCATATTGAAATATAAGTAAGATAACAGTGCCACGCAATAAGGAAAATCACTTCCCAAAGAGGGCTTTCAATGGGTTTTGTATTTCTAGGTTATGCAAACATAACCCTGAAAAATGAATCAGTCCTATCAGTCTAGCCATTTCCCTTCTCTTGTGTTACTTTCCAACACCCCAAATAAAGAGTCACACCCTACAGTACAAAAGGGAAAAGGAGGAGCAGTCTGCTAGGTCCTTTAGCCAGAGAAGCTCTGCTTGTTATTGTAAACTATAACAGATTCCCTTTGGGACACAGGAAGCATGTGCTGGATCATAAAGAAAAGACAGGGAGTAGAGGAAAGAATGACTAATTTTTACATAGTTTTGAATCTAAAAAGCTGTGGGATCCCACTCAACAGACTAGCCCATCCTGCCTGGAAACAGAAACACCAGTCGGGCTTAAACTAAAAGAAGAGTCTCTTTCCACATCATCTTTCTAGCTAACAGAATTTGGTTCTAAAACTCTATTACACCAACTCCTGTCTAGTAAAGTCCTCTTGGGCTGGGCAATCTCACAAGCACGCAGCGAACCTCAAGTCTAAGTTGATGGTGCTTCTACTGCCAACACAAGGGTGACTACAGTGGGCAGAGAATAGAGTCTGAGAAGAAAATTAAAAGAAGCCACGAAGGGGACATCCTGTTTGTTTGGTTCATGGTCTTGTTTCTGTTTTTATCATTGCTTTTGGGAGCCTTCCATCAACCTAACTCAGATATTGAAGGTGCTGAAGCAGATGAAGATGCTTTGTTTTACTGTAAAAAGAAGAGGAGGAATTCGAGTTGCTTGATTTGAACTTCAGTTTTACTTCTAACAATCAGATGTCTGGACTAAGCCTTAGGAGTCTGCTGTGAGTGGCCAGGAGGAAACGCTGGCCATGACTTCTGTTTTCTATTGTGCAAAAACACTGCCCTTGTGAAACAGTGTATGTGTATTTTTTAAAAGTTGGAAAGATGTGCGAGAAGCATTCTCTAGTGCTTCCTCTGGTCCTGACAGTCATCTATTCTCATTCTCTCATTACCCTCTGGGTATCCTGTGGGCAGCTCTCTGTGTGGACCAACTGAAGGTCGATCTTTTTTTTAGTTGGATTTTAAGGTCACTGCTTTTAATATTTGAGTAACAAAATATGCAGACCAATGCATATGCAATAAGACAAAAATCACAGAAAACATCCAAACTATATCGAGTCTTTCAAATAATGTTGAATGGAGTTAGTGCTCAATTAAAGTCTGACTGAGCTCCACATCATGCTTCAGGGTGAAATGGGGATTTTCTGATGGTAGGAGGGAGAGTTTATTGCCAATCCAGATCCCTATTGCCTTCCATTTAAAAAGTTAACCTTCAACTCCTATTTCGGGAATCCTTAACAATCTTCAGATCCTAGATTTCACAACCCTGAAGGTCTACGTTGACAATGGCTTTGATTACTCATCGATACTGCACTTCTCAGAGTTGTCCAAAAGTTCAGATCTTCACACTGAACTTGAGTGGGGAGATTGAAACCCCAGAGTGCAGTGGAGAGACCAACAGGGGAGGATGAATGCATTGTTCCCAGTTCAAACACGTGCAATCTGGTTCCTTATCAGGATGATCATAAAAGGAGTATTCCAGAAAAACCTGAGGCAGGGTAAGCACACCTTATACCTGCTGAGCAACCTGTCACTTTTGAGCCAGAGATGGGGAAGACAGTCACCTTTGCTCTCTCAAGCTGGATGGCTGCTTGCTGTTCTCGCTCCTGTCGGATGGCTTCCCGGTCCTCCTCCAACGAGACATCGGAGTCAGATGGCCTACTTGTGTACGAATCCGCTGAGCCCTGGGAAGGAAAGCACAGAGGAGTTTAAGTGAGGTGATGTGTAGCTTCTTCAGCTGTCACATCCATAACAGTATCCCGGGGTACATTCTTTGCATTTGCATGGATTTGATGCATACACTCTGTGCCTTATTGCAGAGATAAATTTAGATGGCAGAACACAGTTAGGCATCTGAAGGTAGCAACGTTGTGAAGGGAAATATTTTGACTAGATTAAGTGCTAGCGAGTAAACTGCAATGAAAATTATGCAATATCCAGCTTCAATTCTTCTTGCCTTGTGCTGTCTTTATATTAAGCCCGTATTCATTTGCGGAACTGGAATTGTATTCCAGTTCCTTTTTGTGTATACAGCTGAAGGAAAAAGGGGAAAAAAGTCTTAGTCTACTACGAGAGCTAAAGCCTGCGTCTGGGACAAATCTGTGAAAGATTTCAACAGAGCAACGCCGTATATCCTGTATGGGTAAAGTGGTTTTCCAATCTCAAATCAACACTACTGGGTTCACTTTTAAAACTTTCAATCATCGGCCTACCACAGCCACAATTAGAGGGGTCAATGTGGCCACAGAGAAAGAAAACAACCTTGAAGAAAACAAAGATGTTCTCAGATGAAGCCCACACCAAAAAGGACTAATGGGATGATGCTGACAGTCCAGCCTGACTGATGTGGCTGAGGGGCTGTGGGTCCCTGCCCTCCCTTGGTGCTCCAGCCATAAGGAGATGAGAACCAGAGCAGCTAGTTAAAAAATAAGCCCCCATTTCCACAAGTGCCGGAAATTTGCCTTCTGGCTGGTAACAGAACCTCATTGTTACAATTTACTTAAGATAGCACCATGAGTTGATGTTTGCACAGTATAGAGAGGGCTGCTGTCCTTCGCAGGTTTCATAAATCAGGCGCAAGTTTTGCAAAGTGTAGCCCTACCCAAGTAGCTGCGAACCTGTAACCCAGTGAGGAAAAGAACATTCAGAATGGCTGACTGCTGAAACGGAGCTTTCAAAACGTAGACAAAGCAGGGTTTCGTTGTCCATGCATCATGGGTGAATGTCCTACCTGTAAGGAGTAACAATTGTTTGGGGTACTGCTTTAACTGGGGTGGGGTGGTAGTTACATAATCTGGTGTCAATTTGAGGATTCAGAGTGAAGGGGTGAAGTATAACCTGTCAATCAGGTAATAGCTTGATATCCTCATTTGGAGGCTCGAAGGAGATAAATAGCTCACTGGAGGCAGGAAACACGTTCACTCTGCGGGAGACACTACAGCTGACAAGACACATGTAACTACACTAGTGCCCTGAGCTGAAGAAGCCATGTGGAGACCCCTGCCAGCACGGAGATGCTTACGCCACTGGATCTGCAAGACTTCCCACCCACTGGCCTGTGATCTTCCTGTATTCAGTGTCACTGCATGTGTTTCAAGAGTCTGAAGAGGACTTTATAGATTGGTATCGGGCATATAGGCTAATATCAGACTTAAGGACTTGATCTGAACTGGGCTGGAATGTTTTCTCAATGTTCCACTGCTCTTGTATATAAAGCTCTTTCTTATACATCGGAAACTCAAAGGGCCAGTCCTGCTCTGTCTTACAGGGTTGCTAGGAGTTGCAACAGACTCCATGCAGGGACCTTTTGCTTTTGTTATTTACTGGGCCTGCGTTGTCTCTGGGCACTGGGCAAGGTGAGGACTGTGCACACCTCGTCTCGCGGGCTCCTCATAGCAGTGGGAGAGCTGGAATTCTAACCCAGGCCACTGAGCTTTAGATTTCGAGCTGGCAGTTTCAAACCTTTCCACAGGCTGTGATGTTAAAATAGCTATCCTCCTTGGGTCTAATATATAATACATCCAGAACAAAGGTCCCTCTCACCCCCATTTCCTAAAGCCAACAGTTCTACATGGATCTGAAAGAATGAGAAGACGCTCATCGTGTTTCAGGTCATTTATTATGTGGAAACAGTCCATCTCGAAATGTATCCCGTTTTATTACTATATTCGTTGCCTACAAAACATATTGGGCACTTGATAATTCAAGGTGTTGGGAAAGCCTTATGCAGCCCTTTTGCATAATGGCCTTTCAGAGGAAATGTATTTGTCAACCAAATTAAAACCCAGTTCCTCTGCAAATCTGCTGGGGAGAAACGTGGGCCAACAGAAGGTACAGAGGCAAGGTGACTGTTTGGCAGATGCGTTCTTTTCTTACACAGGAAGCTAGAGGGTATGGGAGAGAGAATGGGACTATTCTCACGGATAGAGGCAGGTTTGGCAAAGGCTATTTCTACATGATTTTACCTATGCTGTAAATATATTCATGAATATAGTAGTGCATGCACGAGGTAAAGCTATGAAAATTTCCTAGACATAAGCAAACACTTTAGGGGAACGAATTACCAGGCCGGAGAGCTGAGGACCATAGTCTTGGGGGGACACCGAAATTGACTGGCATAACATAGTCCTCAAGGGTAACATTGCAGCCTAATGAGTAGTGGCTGGGGTCATAAAGGCTTATGAGTGGTCATCTAGGGTGCTCCCATCTGGAGCAAAGATGAATGAGGAAAATCAAAGATACGTGGATATAATAAGTCCTGATGACTAACAGATCACACAAGCCTCAGTCTCTAGGACCCTGAGGCCAGAAGAACTAGATGGTGCCTAGCTACCACTGCCAACTGCTCTGAAAGGGATCACAATTAGAAGGTCCTGGACAGAGGGAGAGAAAAATATGGAACAAAACTTTTAAAAATCATTAAAAAAAAACAATTAACAAGCTTTCTGGTTGGGTAGGGACTGGTAAAACCCCCAAGACTATGGCCATTAGTCACCCTTCTGGCCTGGAACTTCAGCCCCCCACACGGTACAATTTTCAGCCAACCAACAGAGAGGTCTATAAGGAGAACATTCATACTACGGAGGCAGAATAATCAACTATTGATCAAAAGAGCAGCATCTGACCAAGGACAAAGGTCACAAAGGTTAGGAAAGAAGGAGGAATGAGAAAAGGTAAAGGGGGAGGAAGCAGATAAGTGGTGCGGGTGGCAATCAAGGAGATGAAACAAAATGCGAATTGGTGGACAGAAACCCGTAACAGTAAATCTCCACCCAATTCACTACAAAAAGTTAAAACACACTCAAAACAAGATGAGAAGAGCAATGGGCACACTGCTATAGGAGCGAGGGGAAGGGTATATAAGTGAGAACAAGAACAAAGAAAGCAAGCTAGCCTGAATCCCGTAAAACACAGCGTTTTCTTAGAACACACCTGTTGCCTGAGTACACCTGCATGCAATCCAGTGTGCGTGAGAGAGGAGAACATTTTTTTTTTTTTTGCTAATTGTTTCTTGGTTTATTGAACCTTTGAGCATTATGTAGTGTCCTTCGTTGTCTCTTTTTTTTTTTTTTTAAACATTTTATTAGGGGCTCATACAACTGTTATCCCAATCCATACACACATCAATTGTGTAAAGCGTATTTGTACATCATTTCTCAAAACATTTTCTCTCCATTTAAACCCCCGACATTAGGTCCTCATTTTTCCCCTCCCTCCCCGCTCCCCCCTCCCACATGAGCCCTTGATAGTTTATAAATGGGTATTTTGTCATATCTTGCCCTGTCCGACTTCTCCCTTCATCCACTTTTCGGTTGTCTGTCCCCCAGGGAGGAGGTCACACACAGTTCCATGTAATCGGTTCCCTCTTCCCTACCCATTCTCCCTTTACCCTCCCTGTTTTGCCACTCACACCACTGGTCCTATAGGGCTCATCCATCCTGGATTCCCTGTATTTTCAGTTCCTATCTGTACCAGTGTACCTCCTCTGGTCTAGCCAGTCTTGCAAGATCGAATTCGAGTCATGGTAGTGGGAGCGGGGAGGAAACCTTTAGGAACTAGAGGAAGGTTGTATTTCTCATCATTGTTACATCGCACCCTGACTGGCTCATCTCCTCCCCGAGACCCCTCTGCAAGGGGATCGAGGAGAACATTTTGAAACATAGATATGGAAACCATTTTTCAGTTGTGGGGAATAATTCACTGGGACTGTGCTGTGTGTGGCGGATCACGATAAGGTGTTGGACTGGCCGTTGCCGTGACGATATCCGGGACTATAAAATCATTATGATGCAGGGGGCGAGGGAGGAGGCAATGGCCTTGTTTTGATAGTGCAGGGGAAGGCGAAGACCCACCATTCACGAGAAAGCAAGCTGCCCACTGGAGCAGTGAGCCAAACCACCCAAATACACAATCCACTGTTGACTCTCAGAGATGGCTAAATTTCCTGAAACTACCTTAACGACTTTTCAAATCCTGGCATTCAGTCATCTCTGAGCACACAAAGAAGGGACTCAAGGACACTGCAAACGGACTCAGTTCGAAATGGGAACAGGAAAGTGCGAATTTCAAAATTATTTAATAAGCTCTACTATTGCCAACGATGTAGAGGCAGAGCTTCTGTTTACTTCCCCGTTTCTAAGAATATCAGTAGAGGGCAGAAGGGAAGCACCGGTGGTAACCCTTTTTCATAATGACAGTGTTACGATAGCAATGCAACACTGACTCTGACTGTGTCTCTCCAGGGTCGGCTGCGTGTCTGTGAAAAGGACAAGTGTCATTGGTACGTTTCAAGGTCCTCGGGAAAGCAGAGTCCCACTCTGGAAGCCCACATTCAGTCCATCTTCAAACCACCCGCTGGCATACAGTCGATTCTGACTCAAAGCATTTACAAAGGCACAGTGAAGCTTAGAGGAGATGGGCTGGGCTTCCGTGGAGGCAAGATCGGGAAGGGAACATGCAGGTGGGCATGGTGAGGCTGGAATGGGGATGGGCAGAGATGACTCAGAGAGTCTGGTTAAAAATTTTAATCAACAGGAACAGCGAAATGGCAAGAAGGAAATCATGCTGGATGCTAACAGGTCAGTACTTAAGATGTAAATGATGTAATCCCTGGGCCAAGCTGGATATCACAGCCTCATCAGCTTTTACTTTTCCAGCATTTCATTTCATATTATGTGTGAGGAGT